TTGGTCAATGCACTTTAAATACATTTGCATGCACAGATTCTCCCACCCCTTTCCCTCCCCTCCCACTGGTAACTGACAAACGGAGGGAAAACAACAACTATACTCATAAAACATTTAAATTAAAAGAGTAATTGTTTCATAGTGACAGTGTGTGCAGCAGGGTGTTCATAGTGTCTTGGTTTGCAGACCACAGAGACAACTGCTCCACAGGATGGGTCAGGAACACCAGCTCCTGAGACAGAGTGGAGGAAGCAAAGGATGTTCTCAGATCAACAGGTTCCAGTCTTGATTTTAACACATCCTTGTGTGAACAATCCCAACAGACAAGTAAGACAGGGAGTTACACACAACAGTGCCCCAGTTTGGGGATTCTCAGTCTGTCAGGGTTAGTTCACCTCTCACGCAAATGAGGAACTGGTGTGATTTAGTTACTTTTGATGTGTTTTACTGTAAAGAAGGCCAAAAGCTCAGGGCTAGAAAGAAAAAAAATCTCTGGTATGACTCAGTGCAGTTTGATGCCCAAAACAAATTGGGAGGGAACTGACTATTAGGCAGCTAAACTTAGCAAACACCACAAGAGAGTATTCTACAGTTTAAATGCATCGCAGCACTGTTACAGCATGCTTGTCCTTCCCACAGAACGTAGCTGGATTGATTTGTTTTCAGGTAGGGCTCATGTTCATGAAGTAGAAAGGCTTTTGTTACTCCTGGACATGCTCATGAACATGAGACAATGCATCTGGAAAGGAGATAATCCATAAGAACCTCAGTCACATACAGACCATACGAAGTCAACTCTCACACATAGCAGACAAGGCTGCCCCTCTGCAGTGACCCCAGGAGAGCCGTAAGATGTACATCCTTTCCAGAGTCCTTCCTCAGCAAGTCACACCTTGGTCTCATGCCAGCACTGCTCCCCTGAGACCATCTGTGCAATCCCCATCACCTCCCAGCACATTCCCGCTCCCCTGAAACCCTCCCAAACACCTACACTACAAATCTTCCTTCACCACCAAGATTTTCCATCTAACCCTGACCTCCAGTCTGCTCTCACACCTTAGAGACTTTTCCATATCCACCAGCATCCCCTGGAGCCTCTTTTCAAAGAATAATCAAAGGTTCAGACTACTCCATGTAAGTCCCAATTCCATCTGCACAATAAGCTTCCTAGCACCGACGGAGATCAGTGGCAAACCCCTTCTTTCCGCAGTAAGCCCAGCTGTTCCACCATGCCAAACTGCTTCTCTGTTCAAGAGCTGCAGTTCAAGCTTGCACAGAGCTTTGAAATATGACTGATCCAGAAGATACTCTGCAGGACAAAGCTGTAAGTGCATTTATTTGCACACACAAAAAGCAGTGCCCTATTGAGGAGAGGGCCCCAAGAACTCTTGATGAAATTACTCCTGGCAAATGATCAAACTTAACTTTCCCCAAAACCCTATAAAGCAAACAAACCCTGGAGCCTAAGAGTCTCCAGAGAATGGTGAAATTCATGGAATGCCCTCATGCCAAATGAGGCACCACATCTCTTCTTCTCAATGAAGAGATTGTTCCAGCTCAATGAAATTAGTCTCTTCTTACCCCAGCTCTTACTTTCTGGACCCACTGCTCCTTGGATTCCCAAGGAGGTCTTCTCCAGCCTCTCCTGATGATCGCCTCATTCTTCCCTTTGTCTTGGTACCATCTTTGTTTATCCAGAACAGCTATATTTTAGCAGCTAAACATTCTTCAGCTGGAATGAAAATGGGGATATGAGTGGAGAGGTTAGGAAAAAAATCACTTAACTTTCACTTTTCTAATGATCCCTGTCCTATGCAGTTTGGAAGAGAGGTACTTTTCCAAGAGTGGAGAGTGCTGCCAAGAGAAAGAAGAGCACACTTCACTGATGGGACCCTAAAGCTTTTTTTTTTTTTTTTTAAAAAAAAAAAAAGCCTTGAAATTACGATCCCTAGGAAACAGAAAAAAGAAATCCAAAATTCTGTTCAAAAGGCTCATGCTCCCCACAACAACTGCTTTGGAAACATCTTCTGGAGGTCCATCTCAGACATATATTTGCCAGAAGGCACACAGCATGGGATGCAGTTGCCATCCCTTCCTTCCTGTGCTACAGACTTCCAATTCTATATAAAACACGCTGCCTCCTTATCCCCACTGCACTTCCTCCTGCACGCATCCCCCGGCCCCTTCACACACCCTCTTCACTTCAAATCTGGATCTCTGATATTGAAAGGGACTGGACACACTTGGGGGGCATCTCAACAGAAAAGCTAATTGCAAGACACCTGGAAACTCGCAGTAAGCTCGCATGGTGATCTGTTTGGGCAGGAAAGTTTTCCAGAGGGACAATCCTAAGTTTGTTGCATCAACATAGATAAACGTGATTCTTATGGCAACCAAGCAAGAAGCTGCCATAATTGAGTGTGAAGCAGCTCAGGAAACAATAAAAAGCAACCAACCCACATCAGCTGTTGAAAGTCTGATGCAACGTGGCATAAAACATTTTTTACTTTACAATGGCAACTAAAGCTCAATAGGAGCCACTTCTGCACTCGCGTGTGTTCCAGCACATGAGCCATGCTGGTATTTTCCCACACTTCCTTCCCTGCTCTGCTTCTTTGTGGACCTAATTGTTACTGACATGAATACCGGATGTAATCTTGTGTTATTCTTAGAAACATCTCAGCTCCCAACTGAGGCCTGAAGAGATCAGACCCCCATTTTCCTAACTGAGTTCCTCTGCCACTGTTACAGGAGGTCAGAGGAGCCATCCCACAAACAACCTACAGAAATATTCCATCAAGAAAGATCAAGAGTAACAAGATCCTGAGTCGCTCTACAGAGGAACTATCTACGACGTCAGTCACAGGGAAACGGCTTAGTGTTTGTTAATGGTGCTGGAGTGATAATCCACTCTTCTGACGTTAGACTACATGGAAGAGCCGTGCCAAGAAAGCAGCAATTCAATTAAACTGTGAAGTCTATTGTTCTACAAACTTGCTTGTCTTTCTGCTAAGGATTATGGTGGCAACCACATCTTTTTATCCATCTTACAGTAAGCTTCGTGCTAGCCTGGAGCAGTTACACACTTGAAGACATTCAGCATTATAAACTACTCCCCACCTTCATGTAGAAAGACTGGCAAAAAGAAAATTATCCTCAAATAAAAGTGACTTTTCATTTTAGTAGTTCACAATATTTAAAATAAACATGGAATAAGAACATACAAACCTAACTCGCTCTTCCTCAAATATAAAAATCCAGTTCCCTCTTCCTTTCTGCAAATGAGATTATTTGGCTTCTGAAAAGTTAGTGGACAGACACAAGGAAGAGTCTGGTTATGGGGATAATATTTCTGGTATTTTCAGCTAGGGAATAAGCTTCAGATGCCTGGAATTACAAGACTTTTAGTCTTCCAGTAGGACCATTACTGCCTGTCTCTCCAGAAGGCTGCTGGTATTGGACATGGATTATTTGTCTGGAAAACAAAAAACCAGGCAATCTTTAGGTAGAATTCAAGCTGATGTGGCATTCTGCTGTCCTTGAGCTACCAGGCTTCATGAGTGATACAGAAAATTATCAAACTGCTGTGAAACACCTCGACAACAAACCACATCAGTGTCTATACGTGCTGCAGCACAGATTTGCCTGTTCTCCTACACGGACAGACTACTGCAGTTTCTAAGCTGATTTCCACTATTACTGACACCTTTCAGCTTCTCAGAGCAGAAGCATCCTCTGACCAGGCAGATCCAGCTCTGTTGGCCTCTGCACCACAGGGACACCTCTGGCTTCATAGCAAAGCACATCAGGAAAAAACTGAAATCACAGGAGAAAAGGTGTTTAAATAGAGCTCATTGAAATTCCAAAAATAAGTGTTAGGTACATGTGTGTGTTCCTCTCTACTCTGATAAAGAAGAGAATAAATCCCACAGCCTTTTGAGTGAGGATGAAAACGGACAGAATATGGAAAATTAGCCCTCACACACACATTTGGGGCCATGGGAAGAATTTGCATTCTAGGAGCTGAGGACGACAAGCACAGAGACAGAGGGGAAAAAGCAGACAGTGCCCACCAGCCTACAGACAGCTCGCACACCCGATAGCTCTTCACAACACCTCGGGGCACGACTGCTCTGGTGACACAGACCACAACCTGGCCTGCGTGTCTATCATCTGCAGCACCAAGTCCTGCTAACAGCCCTTTTGCTAAGGGAAATCCATACTACAGACTCCATGGTCATTATTTGCCAGGCAAAGTGGAGAGCTATGAAGTTATATTTGCCATGTACATCTGGAACATTGAGCGCTCAGGGAATGGATATGAGTTCTTGCCCTTCTTTTATAACTTAACATACAGTAATCTTATCAAGACAAGAAAAAAACAAAACATTCAAGCAACCTGTTGCAGTATAAGCTTTAAAAACATGATCTGAAAGACAAAATGCCATGGTTGAAGGTATCCAAAGTTCCCATCAGGTAAATTCCTTCCCTCTCTGAGCAGCTGCTGGCATCCTTCCTGACCAATAGATGTTGCTATCCCCCTTCTGTTTGTTGCAGGGCCGAAGTACTAACAGGCCCCTTTCCTGTTGCTCTTTGCAATTCAGTGAGTGCTTCCAGCCATGCTTTTATTTCTGTTGGTAAAGAAAGCAAAACCGACATACAACCACAGATACACAGTACAGCGCAATGTCACGATGTGCCCTGCATCAGCAGAGTCTCCCAGTGCTGAACTCGGAATGCCACCTTTGACCTTGGCACTGCTCTTGGTGACAGGTCTTTGATGGGTAATGTGTCCCTTCTTCCTTAGTCCATTTCAATGGTTTCTTGGCTTTTCTCCAGTCTAGTGTTTAGGATCATCCCAACAGTCCTGGGTAGGGACCCCTTTTCTCCACAGTGATCTGAATACACACCTCTTTCCCCGCCCCCCAACCTCCCTTTCTGCCATGGCAGAGGTCACCAATTAAAAAAAATATTCTACCAGGAAGACTTTGAAAGTCTCATCAGGAAACATCAGCTGCTGCGAAGGCTGCTCTTTCCAGATCTGAGTAAGACACCTGGGCATCAAGTAGCTCTTCACTGTGAAGCTCCCTGTTCATGCATGCATCTGAGAGAATCCCATTTTTGCAGGAATGTGGGAGATGCCCATTTGTCTCCATGTCCAGAGCATTTCCATTCTGGTGCCATTCCAAGCCAGCTTTGCATTTGTTCAAGTCCTGCTTTTCAGGATCTCTGTGAATCTCTCCATTGGTGTATACCTCTAGTGCATACTCACTGATTCGTATGCTGGCATTCTCTGCGTCCCCACCATGAGTGGAAGTCCTAGAGCTGGCTGTTCCTGCCTTGAAGGGCTCCTTCCGGCCCAGGATATGCTGGCTGATGATTTTACGGAAGGTGTATCGGAACTCCCTGATTCGGTAAGCATAAATTAGAGGATTTACTACAGAGTTGGCATGAGACAGGATAATAGCCAGATACATCAGCCAAAGGGGAGCATGGGCACAATTTGGGCAAAAAAGGGTAAAGCAGTTAATAATATGTAGTGGAAGCCAGCAGACTGCAAACAACCCAACAATGATGGCTAGAGACTTAGCTGCATGGACTTCCTTCTGCAAAGTGGAGCGAGAACGTTCCCCATGTACCATCTTGTTCTCCATCTGCTTGAGCTGTCGTCGGGCTGCCATGAAGATTTTCAAGTAGATACCAAACATGAGGAGGAGGGGCAAGAGCACACAGGCAAAGAAGTTGTAGTAGACCATGTACTCCATGGTGACCACAGCCTCAAAGAGACATGCCACCATACTGTTGCTGCAGTTGATGGGAGAGGACTTATTGGAACCTAGCTCTTCGATCTGGGAGCGATTGTGCCACCCAAGCATTGGTGTCAAGCCGATGATGAAAGATAATACCCAGCAGATGGCAATGATACCCTTAGCTCGAGAGCCAGTCACCAAGCCATTGTACCTATAAAGCAGAGGAAATGGGAATTACATCAGTATCACTCAACAAGTCCCTGACACCCAAGCAACTTCCCAATAGCCCAATGTCCCAGAAGATAGCAAGAAAGGCACCTGCTTCTTCAGACGGGCCTTTGAACTGCCATGCAGAACCCATGTAGCACAGCACAGCAAGGACTCCATGGTGACATTGTATGCCACCTATTTCCCTCCCCTTTCCCTTAGGCAGTGAACAGGTGACAGAAAAGCAAGGAAATTAGTACAGTTTTCATCTGTGTTCCTTCACTCCACCAGCCCACTTTGTCATGCACGTAGATCTTGCAGCCTGGATAATCAACAGCACTGCTCTGACCCTTGGTGATGAAGACAACTGTGGCTCTCTCACCGAAGGCTGAGGTAGTTCCTCCTTTCTGGGAAAGGAGCAGCCTTGTAGCACGGAATTGCAGGTCTGTCTTGCAATAGTTCTGTAAGCCAAATAGCACAAAAGAACTCAGAGGCACAGTGCCACCAGCCCCACGTCCCTGTTCAGGTGTGCTCCAGGGAAGTTCTGCTGGCTCAACTGCAGAAGCCAGGCTGACATTGCCTTGCATAGCACCTCACTCTGCTCCACAGCGGCACTTTCAGGAAGGCCAGCACCACCAACCTTCCTTCAACGAGACAAGTCAGCAGCTTTCCTCACCAGCCCAGCTAAGCTGACCCCATGTCTTTCTCAGAAAGGAGGAGTTAATCTGAGGACTGCTCTGACCACAGGTGTGCTGTGGGCTGCACTGCACACACCAAAGGGGAAGTCAGTGGTGGAGGTATTGATATGCCTGACTGCAGTCAGTGCCCTTAGCAGTAAGTTCTCCAACATCTGTTGAAAGAGACAATAAGCAACATGGTAAGAATCCAACAGTGCAGCCAGGGAGCTTGGTTTGTTTGAAATACCGGCCAGTTCCCAAGGCCTCACAGGTTACTGCGAGTCCTGAGCTGACTCCACCAGTTCTTCTCTCTGAAAACGTAAATCAGGGCAACGTCTAACATTTCAATGCAATTTCCTTCCCTTGGTAACACTTAGCATGGAAAGTAGATGGCTGGATTCCCACATTGTCCAGCATTGAGTCCCACACTGTACGTGACCCCATGTGTCTGCAACCGGACAACAGTAACGCTGGGCTCCCAGTGTTTACCCAACACTCCTTCTCCCTCTGTCCTCAGATTTCTCTCAGCAAACAAACAGTAACAAAAAATAATCCAACAAGGCAGAGAAATCTTTCCATCTCTCAATGAAAGTTACTCCCACAGGTTCATGCTCCCATCCCAATGCAAGTTCAAGACAGGGGAGGAGAGAGGCTGCTTGTGCCAGACACAGTACAGAATGGAGATCCTGCACATGCTTTAAATCCCGGCAGATGGGCCTTGGAAAAATCCTGGCTCCACACAAGACCTGACAGGCTTGGGTCTCCCTTCCGAAGCTGCATTTCAAAATCAGAAAAGAGGGAGGGGGTGAGGGAGCCAATCGCACAATTTCTGGTACCCAAAACACACTGAAATCGTCCTTCCAGAAATGAAGGAGGGATTCAGCAGATTCTGAGAGACAGATTCCTCCAGCAAGTAGTGGATCCTGCTCAATGCTTAGGGGATGCTAAGGGCACAGCATGGATGACAGCAGGGAGCTGCTCACACTCAGACCTCATCAACACAGCAAAACAGCATCTGTGCTTTGAAATGTACATTCAGGGAGCAGGAGACTGGCTGAAGGCACTTGAAGCTTGGAAAAACAAAAAACAAACAAAGCAACCACTCTCAAAACCCTGCAGCCCTGGAATTGGCTACATCTTGTCAGAGGAATTTTGAAATTGTGCAGCTGTTATCCCACGACTAGAGATGTCCCTTCCCTTCCACTAAAAATATATTCATTACTGCTCCAGGCAAACACCCCCCCTTCTCCCTCCCTCTTACCCTCTGGGGATTCCCATGCAACAAACTTTACAAGGCTTAGGAACAGCGCTCAACCCAAGCAGCCGCCTGCTTTCCAGCTGCAGTGTATTATGCCGGCAGTGGCAATCACCAACCTACCAGCAAGCGCGTTTCCATACCGCCTCGCTCAGTACCTCCAAGGGCTGAGAGAGAAAGCTCACAGCGTCTCGTCACACAGTCTATGGCACTATGTTGGTCAGGTACCCATCGAGAAGTGTTCATTCACTTGGGAGAGATTAATTTCTAGGATCCACATGAGACACTTCTGGCTGACTCAGCTGAGGTAGGGTTATTATCCAGGTGGACGTTCCTGGACTCTTTCCTTTTGTCCACTTAGAAACGTCACCAGGCCAGCATTGAAGAGTTTGTGCACCTATCTAGGCATCTTTCTAGCCTCATAGCAACCAGGCCAGAGCTACTCTCTGTATCCTCAGTGCTGTACTGCTCTACATGGTAAGTTCAGGGATTCCAGGAAGCATCACATACACTGCGAGTTGCTAGCACCTATGCAGGAGACACAGCCTGCTGAAAAGAGCCGATCGCACCTACAGCCCATGTTCTGCATAGTTGGCAGGTGACTTTGTAGCATGTCTGATGTGTCCAGACAGCACTGGATTGCCTGTGCACAGGCAGCTCTCGCGCTTCCTGGAAATACTGCACTTGCTACACAAATGACTTCTACCCATGAAATTCCAGACACAAAGAACATTAGTGCAGAGCACAGGGCCACAGGAGTTGGGTGTGGGGACAGGGTCACCTGACTCCTCTAGAAAACAAAACTCACTTTTGCAAACACATGAAAATGTGGATGTTTTCCCCAAAATAATTTCACCTGCTCTCCCAACCATAGGTTGGTAAACTGACTCCAGGAGAACAGCTGCCCTTGGTGAAGGTACAACTCATCTGTGCTGCCTAGAGTAACTTGGCTGAGGATGTGACGCCTCTGGGTCCTTGGGCTAAGCTCTGTGTCATCGAGACAATGATTCCTGCACAACGCGTAGCACCTCATCAGACCGATTCATAAACTATGAAGCTGGGTGGAAGACAGAGCTGGTAGAACCACCACAGGGCCCCCAGGTTAAAATCTTTCCATACCCCGCATGGTATGCAGCTGGCCTAACTCATCGTCACAGCATCCAACCATCCAACCAGCCTGCTGTTGTCTTCCAAACCCACCTCTGGTTGACAGCACTGCACATCTTGGCCAGATGGCTCTGCCATGCATGGAGCGTGTTTCAGCCACCTTTACTGCATCGCACCAGAAAGCCTGCGCTTAGCATCGAGGGCACTGCTCTTTGTGAATTCCAGCAGTGCTCAATGGCTTTTAACAAATCACTACAAACCACTGTTCACTGGACACATCCACTCACCAGCCCACACCTCAGGCACCTGCAGCCATAGGGAGCAAGACAAAAGTAGGATATTCTATCCCTGTTACATGCACCTGGAAATGAGAGACACTGACAACCCCAGATCATCCAGGAAATCTTGTGGCAGAGCAAGAAACCAAACCCAGAACTGCTTGTGCACCTCCTAAACAACCCTTTCCCAAAACCGTCAGGAAGCTTTCTCCCCTCTTACCAGGTGCGGACTGATGCCAGTGCTGGTCTGTGCTATGGACACAGGGTAAGGCAGGAGCCCACAGGTGGGCACAGGGCTCTAAATGGCAGAAGCAACAACAGCAGGTAGGCACCGTTCTCTTGCTCAGCTTCCAGATGATGATCAGCTTTCATGATCAGCTTCCAGATTAAAACCTTGGTAACCGTGAGTTCCACCGTAGCCCAGGAAGCCATGGACAACTGCCACTGCTTTCAAAGCCATGCCCGTGCTTGTTCAAAGGAGGAAGCGAATTATTCTTCTTTCATATTGGGCTGAATCTGCCCATAATCTATTTGATGCAAACATGAGCGCATGCAGGCAATGCTTGTCATAAAGTCAAAAGATTTATGGCGAGCAGGAAAAGAAATAAGTCCGGATATGGCTCCAAGTGACGATAAAACATTAAATCTCTGATTCACTGATTGAGATGCTCATACATGAGCATTTGAGAAACCCTAGAGGATTAAAGCAACTGCTGAAACAGACAAAGGTCCCTTCCATGTCCTACACTTTATTCAGGGTTTGTGTTCATCTCCCCTGTTCTTCCTACCCCAGACTTTGAGAAGCAGTTCTTCATGTCCAGCTCCCTTAGCCTCTGGCAGAAAAGCATCCCAATGCCACCTCAGAGCTGCAGCTTCAGTCACCACTACTTGGGATGAATTTGTCCCAATGTTCCAAACATCAGGGAGCTAGACCTTAGTACTGCTTTCCTGGAGAAGCATCCCAGTAACTTAGGCAGTCATCTCCAAAGCAACTTCCATCAGAGGAAAAGGTCTGCACTTCAGCAAGTCACTGTAGTTGGCACTGCATGACCTGCATAAGTATTTATGCCACAGGTGAATATCTGAATCCAGCACACACAGCAAGCAGTAACCTGAGAAAACTTTTCTGTTTGGCTGCAGGAAGAAAAATTTCTCCTCTCCTTCCAGTGCATCGGACCTACCTGTCCTTCAGCATGGGAGTATCTCTACTACAGATGCCTGCACAAGAACACGTGGCTGGGCACTGCGCCCGCGGAGCACTTGCTGGCACCAAAGAGCCTGGAAAACAGCAATTGTTCTTGGCCCATGACTTCACCCTGGAGCTCAGACTCGCAGTCAGTTTTGTTGGGAACACCCAGGGGTTTTGTATCGGTGAGCACAGGTTTTCAGGTACCTGCCATGTTAGAGACAAGGTTCAGGTTTTATCCCAGACCGAACAATGGCTTGGACTCACTTCCTTGGGAGTGCCTTACTCCCACTTGCAGAGTGTCACGTCTGTATAACACCTGGCAGAATTCAGCAAAGCGTTTGAGAACTTTTGGAAAGTTAATCAAATTCTACACAATGTTTTAATCATTTGAAAGGTAGAACCCATAAAACATTCACAAATTAGTTTTCATGTATTTTTAAATTTTACATATAGATGTCTTTCCTCACTGCAATTTTTTGGGGGAAGGTCTTTTATCCACCGAAAAATCATTCCAAAGGTAACTCTAATTATGTACTGAGGTGTCCAAAACCAAGCCGTTTTTGTCTCATTGTTCTGCCTCCTTAATACTGACAGTGTGGGAATTTGTGTGGGAATACACATCCTCATATGTACACACTGAGACATGTGGTTACCTTCCTTAGAACAAATCAGACACAAAACAGTTAAAAAGAAGAAGACAAAATAAGTTTGGACCTTTTTGGTTTTGCTAGAGTGAAGGAAGTCTGATTTATTTTTTTAAGAGCATTCATCTAATGAATATTAGCAATGCCTGGTGTCACCTTTCTTGTCCTCTGAGGAGGAGAGAAGAGGCTTTCTCAGGCATTAATGGATGGGGTAAAACATTGCATCTTTATTTGGGAGAACTCACCTTCCTATGGTTTCACACATTTTTGAGATACTCAGATATTAGAAAAAGAAAAAAAAAACCAAGGATGTGAGCAGTCTCAATCATATCATATTTCCCTCACATTTCAGCTCATCAGCTTTCACTTTCTCAGCATGTCTGAGGCTATAAATCTAATGCTTATTCATCCATAAATTCTTAAGGGGAAACACAATCGACAAGTTCTTCGCTCCTACTGTAAAAGGACAAACCAACAGAGGACAAGGAGGGGGAGGAACCCATGGATCTACCTGCAGGTGTCTGCACCCAATCGGCTCCACTGTTTCTGGGGCGGAAGAGGGTGTGCTCTGTTTTTTCAAAAACAAAATAGCGAAACCAGTACCGTGCCCAGCACTGATGAAGTCTGATTTTTCTAAAAGACTCTTTGCCTTGGCTATTCCAGGAAATTAAATTTTCAAGACAATATAGTTACAGTGATATCCAAAAAAACGGGCAGAAATCCAGATTTTTAAAATCCTTTTCCTGGCAAGTCATCCTCTAGCAATAAGAGTGCTTAACCTGTCAGCAAACGTCTTCCGAGTTAGCTCATGAGAGATGAATTAAGCATTAGCCCTTCTCAAATTCATTTCAGATGCACTCCTGAGGGCTATGCCACACATGTTTCTTTGTACCATCTATCGTTAGTTTGGTTTACAAACTGAAGCCATCTATATGTAGAACCATAGAAGACTGGAGACAGTCCAATTTATAGGTAACTAATACTGACAGAATTTTCTCCACAATGGAATGGGACAGTGTTCCTTACAACTACACCAAAAGTAGAGGCTGTAACAGGTACGACTACAGGTTTGGAAACCAGCAATTCACGGTGATGTTATAGCAGCACAAGCTAGCTGAAGCAAGGCTTCAGGAAAGACTATGCTGCACTGGTCCACATGGAAAGGTAATCTATTTTTCAATGGGAAGTTTGTGTTAATCAACATAAGTGCTGGATGATCAAAGTATTCACAAGAGACTAAACTAAATCGCACAGGTCAACACAAGCAATTTAAGCTTAATAGGAGTGCGGATGTCCAAAAACTCAAACTTGAGAGCACAAAATAAGAAGTTTGTTCCATTTTTGCAGCCAGATTTGTTGTCCAGGATAGGAAGCAAGTCTCTCCATTCCTGAGAGCATGCTGCATCCTCCTAAGGACAAGACGGGAAGGAAGGAGACTCCTACACTTTCCCTGCACTGGCCTCTCCTGAGGCTTCCTCTACATCTTTCCAGCTTACTGAATGACTTGGAAGCATGGCCATACAGTATTCAAACCCAGCCCACAAAATGCAGTGCTGCTTCGCACCCACAGTCAGATAAATCCCATCACAACAATATGCTTCTGGAAAACTGAACTGAGTAGCAGCCCCTGTGCGTGTGGCAAAACTTCCCCTTGTCCCACATCAGCCTCGCTGGTTGCACACGGAGCAGCAGCTAGTCATATTCAGCTTTCGAGCTCTAATATTGAAGCATCCTTTTCTTCCTTTAAACTCCAGAGCAGAGACCACAGAATAACCATCTGCAGGTCTGGGTTGGGACAAGCCTCTGCCTGGACCTAAGACATGCTTTGCTTCCAGAGGCATTGCCTAAGCTAGTCCAAACCTTCCTAAAGGCCATTTCTTCATAGCCTGCTGCCTCTCCTCCCTTCATGTTTAATGGACCCCAAGAGAAACCCCCATCTACACTCTTCACAACCCTGCTACTACAGCTGCAGGCAGAGTCCCCCATGCTCCCCATGGGGAAGCAGACAAGTTGACCTCACCCCTTTCTGCCCTCCACCACATATTGCTTTAGCTCCACGTTCCCACAGTGATCCTCCTGGTGCTGTTGGCTGCAGCTTAGGGTGCAGGTTATTGAGGTTACTGCATGATCCGGTCTAAATACCAAATGGCAGCTCCTGGGCAGTGCCGTTGCGATGCCACGGGCATACACCATATGGGGACAGAGAAGAACTGGAAAAAGAAGCAATCAGAAAATCCAGCAGCCAAGGCAGCCTTCAAGACCCAGAAAAGTTTTGTTTTTTTCAAGTTACAAGAGGAAAAAGTGCTGATCTTCACTTAACTTTTCCTTCCTCGATTCATCTCCAGACCTGTTGCTTTCACCGATGTTCATCCCTCACCACCCTAGCCCGCTCCATCCCCCCTGCCCAACCCGTGCTTACCTGAGGGGTATGCGGATCGCAATGATTCTGTCAATGGCAATAGCAAGGAGGCTGAAGATCGAACTCTGAGTCAAGACCAGGACGAAGCAGGCAATGAAAAGGCAGCCATAGAAGAAGGCACAGAAGCCAGTGCTGATGGTGATGGCAAAGGGGATTGCCAGCACGCCCACGGCAATGTCAGCAGCAGCCAGGGACACCACAAAATAGTTGGTGACGTTCTGTAAGTTGCTATTCAAATAGACTGCCCAGCAGACCAGGATGTTCCCCAGGATGGCCAGCACTGCAATGATCAGTTCCAGGATGATGTAAGCTATGTCTGAGAGGAAGTCTTCTTTCCCATGTACTAGCATGGTGAGAATGACCAGGCCAATGTGAGAACGTGCCAGAAAAGCTCAGCGTTCATATCTGCAGAGCACTGAACAGCCAAGACACCTCAAAGCTGCCTGGGGTCTGAAGAGCACTCAGCTGCCAGCGGTGAAGGTTGCTCACACGCACCCTTTTCTCCTCATAGCTGTTCAAGATCTTTACAGCAGCAGGCGTCAAGAAAAAACCCAAGGGCTTTCCAGCTCCAGCAAAGTGGATTAACCAGATGCAGAATAATTCAAACTCCAGCAGACGAATAGACAGGAGAATATCTCAAGTAAACATACACGGCTCCCAGGCCACAAAGTCCAGCAGGCAAGATGACACAGAAAGTGTATTGTATGGCAGCATCACATCAGCTGTGACTTTTTACTTCCTGTTGACAATCACACTGCTAGTCATGGCTTCCTGTCATGTATATACCTACTAGCAACATCCTCTGGTTCTCTTTTTCATCTTTTCCCACTAGGACTTGTGAAATATTCTCTTCAGCTGAAGCAAACATTCGACTTCTTCACTTGTAATTTCCTTTAAAAGAAAAACACAAAACAAACACCAACCACATACACTAAGTAATCAGCTCTATGGAGGAGATGGAAAAAGCAAAATCTCATTAAAGTGGCATATTAAACTGATAACGGATATTAAACAGAACTAGAAGAATACATCATCGGCAAAAATCTCACATTTTGTCTATCCTGAAAGCTGCAGGGCCAAACCCAAGGTTCAGGAAGGCAGTATTTCACAGTGGTGATGAGAAACAAGGGATGTTTTGTTTTCGAGGCTACCAACTGAGCTGGCACTTCAGCAGCTGCTAAATAGGCTGTCCTGAAACACGAGAGCCCCACTAATTATGCCTTGGCAAGTATTGTGGCTCCACAGAGGAAAGGTGGAGGAGCCTTTCTACATACACCTGTCTCCCTCTGATCACAAACACAAGACTTGAGCCATTACATGCTGCTCGCCCTCATGTACTTCACCACAAAAGCATGCTGCTCTGTGATGACACGAACCTTCATTCATGAGGGGGTTATGTTGCTGGCAACGTGTGGTCACCACTCTGTTGCCATACCCAGTCGTTCCTTCAATGCACAGACACTGGAACGCGATCAGCAGCAGGGAGAATAGTAAGAGGTATGTCAGACAGTGACATTGCTGAGCATGCACACTCTCTGTAAGGGTCTCTGCAGGTTCTCCTCCTGCAACGCCATCGTTTTTCTTCACATAAATCTTTATCCTATAAGCAAACCATTTACTTGTTATACCTGCATTATCCACAGCATTTGTTGCATCCACAGATTCAGGTCAGAATCATTCTTCAACTACAAGCAGCCAGAAACACATCCACCAAGATACACATCTCCCAGCAACACACACACAGGCACAGTGCCAAAGTCATCTCTCAAGTATACATTCATGTTCCTGCAGAATCATGCCCACAAATCTGGGACTAAAGTTGGTGCTGCCTGCAAGGAAACATAGTCCCTACAGCTGCCATTTCATATGAACAGATACACATCGTCTACATGCTTGCACGCCTCACTTGCACACTCATCTTGCAGGTCACCTTGTACCTCTGCTTTCAGATATAGGTGCATTTCACCACAGTTTCAGCTAAAAATATAGCAATGGAGAATGAAGTTCCCTGAGCTTCGTGCCACAGCCGAGAGATAATTGTTTGCTGTCCTACTCTGTCACTTGCAGAGTGGGTTTTAAACCTTATTTAGCAAGCTTTAGCAGTACTATTTTCTCATTAATTTAAGAAAATAGCTACTTGAAACATCAGAGGGCTGAGGAAGAGGCACAGTACTAACTGATAAAGCACTCGAGCTCAGTTTCAGATGCAACATGAACCTCCAGAACAAAAGATGTTGGGGACCCCGTCCACAGGTGATCTGGTGAGGTCTAACCCAGCAGGGTTTCATGCCTTCACAGTTTACTCTGTTTTCAAGTCAGAAACCTAATTTCTCAGGATAAAATAAAAGGGTAAAGACAGTGATAATAAAAGAAAATATGATTAACTTGTGATTCACATCTGATCTCAGGCACATAATCTAATTTTAGACCTTTCATTGATTTAGAGCTCTATTGCTAATGCTGCATTTGAAAGGAAAGTGAGTGATTCTTGGTGGTTTGGATGTGCTTCAAAAACCTCGCTTTTTCTCCACCTTCAGCAATCTTGTTTATCTGTTGTTTGGTTTGCGTGGAAGAAATCAACAGAAGAGATTAGTTTGTGATCTAGCTATTAAGAGGAAGATATCCATTTAATATTTTCTAAAGAAAAAAAAAAACCCAGAAGTCTCTATATTGTCCATCTCCCTTTAGCAAAAACTCCGGTTTTCCACTGACCTCCTAAAGATTGCTTCTACTTTCTTGAATTTCAGGAATGTCAGTGATACGCTTCTACATCCCTCTGCTAGCATCTGATTGTCCATTACAAATCCCAACAGGTTTGTTTCAAAGCAGTGATACTGAAAACTAACCCCACCTCTAGCTTGGCTTCCAGGGAAAGGGATTAGAATTGATATAAAATAGAAATAAAGAAAATCTGGAGGGAGAGAAAACAGAAGGGCCAAGACAAAAAAACAATGCTTTGTGCGCGTGTGTGAGCAAGAAAGGGGAAAAACAATAGGAAAAAACAAAGTAGGAGTAAAAAAAACAACCCAACAAGGGAAGCACTGGGCAAAAGAGGCCTGTAAGAGAAAGACAGCGTGTGTACCTGGCAGAGGTACGACACACGGCTGCGCCTGAAGGCTCTGACGCGGGTGCAAGCTCCCGTGTCCCTCAGCATCACGGCAGCAGAGACGGCGATGGGGTACTACTCCGGCAATGGAGCAGGGAGCATACACCTCTCCGCCTCCTAACCTGCTCACGTTTCCATGCAGGTCAAGCTCATGACCAAACTCTAGTGTCAGGACAAGTTTAGAAAAATTTAGCGAATTACTGTGACGTACTTGGGCCCAAACTGTTGCTATGTAAAACAAAACCATCATAAACACGCCCACGAGCTCTTCTGAGATGAAGTCAAAAGAACTGAAAAACGGCTTTTTGAAAGAAGCCAGCCTGAGAACTGGCCACGTTAATCCTGATGCTGAGAGGATTTACTTGAAGTCCTGCTATGCTGCTCTTGCACCTTATATTCACATGACATACACCTCATGAGGAGGATCAAAGTGAAATTACTGGGATATTCCATTTCAGAGCTTCCTTTAGTAGGATTCTGAATCCATATTAATCCCAAATGCATTTTGTTTAACCTGACTCTTTCAATGGCTCATCTCAAACTCATTTTCCAACTGGTCACAGAGGGAAGTAACAAACCTACGCTGCGGAGGTCCCCCACATACTAATCATTCAGCACAAAGACAAAGCTGGAATTGCCTACCGCTCTGCATGTATCCTGAGAAAGCACGATGCTGGAATATGAAGTTTAATGACCACATCACATACTGTTTTCTGACACAATAAAGCTTTTAACTTTCTACTTCAACTGTTTGTTTCATGGTCTGATGTCAAATTTGAATTTTTAATCTCCGAATTTGTTTAGTCCCTTGTTTCCCACCCCCCTTCACAAACAGCATCCTGATACCTCAAGCTCTAGCCATTTATTCCAAAGCAATCTGCGAGATGTTATATCCAGAGGAGGACAAGATGTCCTTCTGCCCTCTGCTCTCAGATGAGCTGGAAAACACTTAGAGAGTTCTGCAGAGGCAGCACATCTCAGAAGAGAAGTGACTGGAGCTGAGCAGGTGTCCCAGCCACGACAAAACAACATTTTGCATCTGCTTCAGCACCAGTGCTTCTGCAGCAGCCCCTGACATCAGGAAAAGCAATTATCAGCCACACAAACCCAGCACATCAGAGGCCTCATCAGCTACTTACAGAAGGTGCCACAACCCAGGAGGTTCCCATGTTCAACCCAAACTCACCCATCCTGCTTCATTCATTTCTTGCAGTGTCAGTCTGCCATAGCTTTCACCCAACATGATAACAATGGTAGGAGTATTTGCAACTTGCTTTAAGACAAGAACAGGCTCAGTCTTTCTGCTCGTACGGCTAGAAATTTACTGCACAGTGACAAAATGAAATACACACTGCTTAGAGAAGAAGATATATATCCAGAGGCAATACAAAATTTATTATAGAATCATCTACTTCATGTAAGACCTAAAGGCTCATCGACCAGGTTGGACAAGACAAAGTTAATTAACAACCTGTTTTACTCACCAAGGAAGTGTGTATTTAACATCTCAGGCCCTTGAGGGATCAATATTGGAAGCTTCTTGAAACTTAAGAAAAATAACCTGTATCACACAACCTGCTGGACAGCTACAATTAGTATTTCTTCTTAAGCTCGTGTTTTATTTTGTTAATTGGATTAATTCTTTCTTGATACCCCGGGGCTATGTTCCAGCCTTTTCCCCATTATTAAATAAACCTTTATTGCCACTCACAAACCTGTAAAGCTGTTGCTCTGTTCGTTTTTAGTGACTTGGAACACTCTGTTCTCTCTCATATTTCAGCCCCAATGAAAAACTGCTTCTTGAAAATTCAATAAAGCTTCTGAACAGCATGTTTACATGAAGCAATTCACCACTGGAGCCTAAGCAAGCTTTTGTTTGGCATCTCCAGTTGGCTTTGGACTAAGGTGTTGCCCCTTCTCTCTCCTGAGTGTCAAACGGATGGAGGTGAGCCCTTGGCCGCTGCTTGGTTCAAATCACCCACCTCAAGCAAGCTCATTTCCTGCTCTTGGTCCCTTCAGGCTGAGTTCAGGCATCCCAGTTTTGGACACGCACACTCTGTCACACTGGTACAGAGAAGACGCACCCTCTGCTCCGTGTGCCAGGATGACACCTATGACAACGTCTGTGATACTTCAGTTTGACAGCTACTCTCAGACATTAGCAAAATCTCCAAGGGACCAGCAGCCCTCAGGGCACCCCAGCCAGACTATGGGCATGCAGGTGACATGCCCTAGCTTCCCCAG